ATTTAGGAATTCTTAGAACGGATAACGAAATTAAGGAACAGTACAATGTCACTGTACAAAACCGGTATAATGCAATGGAAATTATACAGACTATTGTGATATGTTGCGTGAGTCAATTCAGCAGACATCAAAAGAGACAATCCCACCAACTCATATAGTTGCAACAACAACCAAAAAAAATGGATGTCAACCGATATTCTGCAGTTGATAGACGAAAGAAGGAAGAAAAAGAATAATAAAGAGGAATACTCTAGATAACAAAAAGAAATAGTCAACAAATGCAAAGTGACTAAAAAAGCCTGGATGAATCAAATGTGTACAGAGATTGAGGGAAAATCACAGGAAAGACTCACATTCCATGTACAAACAGATAAATATGTTAACAGGAAAGTTGATACGTAACAGCACTGGATGTTTAAAATCAAACGATGGTGACTTATTAATGGGACATAGTAATATAATTAGCAGACGGACAGAGTATTATATAGGGAAATTGTATGATGATAATAGACCAGATGTAGAACTGCAGAACAGCAATGATGGTCCAACAATAATGACTGCAGAAGTTGAGGATACAATATATCATATGAAGAAAGAAAAAGCACCCGGGCCAGACAACATCTCACTGGAAAAAATCGAAGCACTGGGAGATTTTGGAACTGAAATAATAAATAAACTTTTAAATGATATTTATAATAGTGTTTATATTCTAAATGACCTTTTAAAATCCATATTTATAGCTCTGCCGAAGAAACCAGGCACTTTAAAACGGGAAGACCATCGCACAATAAGTCTTATGAGTCACATGACTACGATTTTACTGAGAATAATTATGAGAAAAAAAAAGAAACAAAATTAAACCTGAAATCTGCGATGAACAATGTGGATTTATAGAAGGAAAAGGTACAAACAATGCCATATACATCCTAAGGACATTGTCAAAAAGAGCTATTGAAGTAAAGACTGAATTGTACTTATGCTTCATAGACTATACAAAAGCATTTGACTGTGTGAAGCATGAAGAAGTTATCAAACTGTTAGAATAATTAAACATTGATGGGAAAGATCTACGAATAATAAAGATTATGTGTTGGCAGCAAACAGCAGCTATAAGAATTGAAAACTGTTTAGGTACATTTCAAACCATAAAGAGGGCCGTACGACAAGAATGTGTACTGTCACCTGATTTGTTTTCAATATACAGTGAATATATCATGAGATCTTTAATTGATATAACGGAAATGTGGTTGGTAGGCACAATATAAACAATTTACGTTATGCTGATGACACAGTCTTGATAGCAACGAGTCAGAAAGAACTACAGGACATGATAGACATTGTGGTGTTAGAAAATAGAAGAATGGGCCTCAGTTTGAATAATGGGAAGACAGAACTAATGGTGGCATCAAAGATACGAATTATTCCTAAATGTGTAATAAAAGTCGATGGTGTTATTTTAGGACAAGTACAGAAATTTAAGTATCTGGGCACATGGATAACATCAGATGGAAGATGCATAACTGAGATAATAAACAGAATAGGACAGGCAAAAACTCATTTTATAAAATGAAGAACATCTTGTGCAAAACATCCTTGTCATTAAGAGTTAGAAAAAGAATTCTTGCTTGCTACATACAGTATTAACATATGGCTGTGAATCCTGTACAATCAGTAGGCAGGCCAAACAATTTCTTGAGGCCTTAGAGATGTGGTTTTACAGAAGAATACATTGGACAGCCAAAAAGAGCAACCAAGAGGTTTTGAAAGAGGCGGGAGCCCGAAGACAACTTATCACAGACATCAAAAGGAGACAGTCATCATTTTTCGGCCATGTTATGAGAAGAGGGAAAATAGAACATGTGACCACTGGAAAGATCTATGGAAGGAGGGATAAAGAAAGACAACGAGAGAAGATTCTTGACAGTCTTGTTGCACGGCATAGAGATGTGTCAGCACACGAACTGATACTGCTGCAGGAGATCGCAGATAGTGGAGAGGCATGATCGCCTAGGCCAGTCGGCAAGTCACATGATGAGGATGAAGATGGGTGTGATTCTTAAACTTTCACAATTATTTAGGAAGAAATAGAGGACTTGTAGCTTAAATTGTAAAGAAACTACTGCTGTACCGAATAGTGGGTTTCACTATTCGGCCGAATACGAATAGAGGGACCAACGTTGATAAAACCACTCGTTTTATATGGCTTTGAAACTAAAAACAGAAATAAAAGAGATGGGGCCTTATTACTGGTTTTAGAAAACAGTCTTACGACAAATCTGTGGACCTATCAAAGATGCTAACGGCGGGAAATGGAGAGTGAGAAGCAACATCGTAACACATAATCTGTTTAAATCACCATTGATGGGCGTAGACCACAAGGCAGACAAGAATGAAGTTCGAGGGATAATGTCCAGCCAGACCTGCAAACATCTGGTGTCACAAATTGTGAAGATAATGCCAGCCAGAGAGATGAATGGAGACGGGTGATATCTGCAACAGTAATCCCCAAGGGCTCAGAATGCTAAAGAAGAAGATGACTATTCTGTGCTACTTTATAGGAAGTAAAGGTTCAGCGTACATTTGTCATTATGAATGTGTTTTTTTTTTTAGATATATTTTGAACATTATTTACTATGCGTATTCGTATTCTTATTCGGCCGAATAGTTGTTCCCGCTATTCGTATTCGGCCGAATAGTGAAAATCACTATTCGGTACAGCCCTAATATAAACAAACTGTGGTCTGTTCTTGAGAACTACGGGGTGCAAGGACAGTTATTAGAGAACATCATAGCCATGTACCACACAAGCCAAAGTGCAATACGAACACAAGAAGGCAAACGTCTTGACAAAATTGCAACCTTTAACGTCTGCCTGGCTGCTCTGTTGTAGTTTTCAGTTAGGGCCTTGGTGTTATTTTCGCTAGGAGAGGTAAACACTCTGAAAGTCAGGAATACACTTTTTTTTTTTTTTGGCAGCACCGTTTATACTTTTATGTATTCACCAGAATAGTTTCACTGAATTGTCTTTGCTAATTCTTTGACACAGTTCTACCCACTTCTTTAACCAGTTTTTATTTTTATTTTTAAGCAGTAAGCTTTTGTAGCCGTGTCTCTTTCCAAGTGCAGAATATTACTAGGCTGGTTCACTGTTGCTTTTGGATTTTGCCAATCCTTTACAGCACAATGCTTATCCGTCCACGCCATTTCCAACTCATAATTCAATTAATCGGGTTTCTCCTAGCTTTCCGTCTGTCCCTATTGATTTCTTCCGTTGTCATGTCCTATTTACCACACCTCACCCTGTCCATTTATAGCCATGCTTGAACGTCTTGCAAAGATACAAGAGGGGCTGCATACTGTAGCGAAGGATAGAACGACTTGGTGCCAGTTAGTTTAGGACCTATGTTCAATTCAAGGATAGAATGCAGAAGAAGTAGAAGAAGAAGAAGAAGAAGAAGAAGAAGAAGAAGAAGAAGAAGAAGAAGAAGAAGAAGAAGAAGAAGAAGAAGAAGAAGAAGAAGAAGAAGAAGAAGAAGAAGAAGAAGAAGAAGAAGAAGAAAAAGAAGAAGAATGCCGAATTAGAAATCGACATCTAGCCCACGGGACACTCCCATAAGCGCTCCGTCCCCCATCTTCAGCAGCAAGCTAAGGGTTCCGATCGTGCCAGTATCTGTCTGATTGTATATCCGTCTCGCCTTTTCCCTGAGTTTCGAACGCCAGCCAGATCCCCTAGTAACTCACTGCAGTGCCATTCTCCTCAGATCGAAATGATCTATTTGTTCCTCCGCACTGTTCACTCGCTCATAAAAAGCCCTCACAACATCTAGCTTGTCATACACCAATTCACCACTAAGTGGTGCAGAACCAGCTAGTGTATCAACTTGATCATTTCCCAACACACCACATAACTTGGAGAAAATATCCAAAGGATGCCAACTATCCTGGACCTTTGAAGTGATGCTTGCCACTCTGCATGGAGCATGCCTGTCTCCACCTTTCTCAACATGTTCTGTGAGTCAGAAGAAGATAAAGAAGAAGAAGAAGAAGAAGAAGAAGAAGAAGAAGAAGAAGAAGAAGAAGAAGAAGAAGAAGAAGAAGAAGAAGAAGAAGAAGAAGAAGAAGAAAGATAGTTTATAAACTAAATTGTGTATATATTTCAGACAATTACACTGACACCAGATCTTTTATAGGAAAAGAAAAAGTAACATTTATAATGTTCCGTGAATTTCTCTGCATGCTGATCTTCAATTTGCCTGTCAAAAAACTTAAATCAGGAGACCAACAGGGTAAATTCCAGAAAACCCCTTTCAGCATCGTAGTAGTTATAATTAGAGCACCAATAACGGCCACACCTGACTGGTTTAATGTAGTTCGATACAGGTAAGGATTTATATATAGGAAAAGCGTTTTTTTTTTTTTTAACTTTACTTAGTTGTTCCTCTTCTACCTTACATTGTATTAAACTCACATCCCGGCACGACACTAGATGATGGCATCATTCCTGTAGATTGGCTGACCTTAATATACGAAGGTCACACCAAAATCTCGCTCAAATCTCGCTTACTTAAATAAAGGCGAGAAATGAGCAACCATTACCCGAGTAGAAGTAAACTCGAAATATTTTGGTTTTCTCCTTCTGTTTGCCTCCGTTCTGCGATCGCCGTCCCTTCTAGAGGCATATCGGTATGCCGAAATAACCTAGAGATATGTACCTTTGAAAAAAGTACATCTGCATTAATGTTAATGTATTTAGAGACGTAAGTTTGGGGGCATCGATGATTGGGTGTCTGAATCTTACTTCTGTGTCGTTTGCTAAGAAAGCTGCAGGACAGAACTAAAGACCGCGGTAAAGTGATTAAAGTTTGAGTGTTTTATTAATGTTGTCAATGGAAATGACTAATAACGGGAATCTGCGAAACTAGTTTGAAGATTGGGTACATATGAATCGAATTTGATTGCGTTGGTGTAGCGGTTCTACCGCGTCTTCTTGAGCGAGTATAATGTCAGCTAAACTTGCTGATCGTATAGACCCATTCACAGCGAAAGCTGCAGTGAAATCGAAGAAACAGAAGCGATCACAAGGGTCGTCACATTATCGAGCAAATACTGCACCTGAGCTGCAGGCTTTACCTTATCTTAAAGGTTGGTATTTCTAGCACTTTTATTTTCTATACCTAGATATTGATGTAATGAACATGAATTGCTGTTACTGTTGTATTGATCAATTGAAATAATTATGTTGCTGTGTGTAATTCATTTTTATATTTTATAATGAATGTTTATGTAATCACCTGCTGACTGACCAGAGACAGCAAAATATTCCAGGCTTTTAACAGTGCAGTATTTTAGTTTAAAACCATAAATTATTGCCACTAAATAATAATAATAATATATACTGCTATTTATTGATTACAATTAATGATTTTTATTTTTTTAGTAGGTTAGTAGGCATTTTCAGTATATTTGTTAACCTTATGTTACTAGTAGACAGCTAAATATAAATCAATTCACAGCGTGATCCTTAGTACCAAAAGATTGAGGTATTTAAAAAAAAATTAAAGCATCCCTTACCACTTCTCAAGGTGTATTATCATAGGGTATGTGGTGCCAGTCTGATATTTATTAAGACCAGTTAGTACTCAATAGGTGATATGTCAAAATTATCCCAGCAGACTTTACTTCCCATTTCAGACTGGGTTTACATAGAGGCCCAGATCCAAGAGAAGATTTTAATCTCTAGGCATGAGACGCAAGCATGCTAGGTTAGTTGCTTATCCTTTACAGGACGTTGCAGAATCAACCCCAGCAGCCCCTGGCTCTTGTGTGGTTACTCTAGGCAAATTTACGTCCATTAGTTTGTTCATTGCTTTCTGGACAGTCGGCCCCCTGATACCACTGTCGAAACCAACGCACGGCACATGGCCCGCAGCTGGTTTCGAACCCAGCACCCCGGAATTACGTACCGATTTAGCCACAGAGCCGACAAGCATGCTAGACATTGTTTTATTTTAGCTATCTGCAAGCTTTTTTTTTTTTTTTTTTTGGGTCGAAAGTGCCGGTACTCACCAAGAAATGTCTAAAAAGGTGCTGGTACTTACCACAAAGTATCTATTACAGTAGCACTAAAAAATACATGTTGAGGAAACGGTGCCTGTACTGCATTCTATTATGTACCGCCTTTTTAAAAAAAACCTGGCTTCCTGTAAAAAGTCATTAACATGCCTTCACTTGATGTTCAGTTGAAAAGAGAAATACTGAGCCTGGTTTGGAAAGAAAAGAAAAAAGATGCCTTTAACGCCAATGGTGCATCAGGCATATGTTGCAAGACTCGTACATTTATAGATTAATCAGCACTTGTTGAATGATGCAGTCAGCATCACAATGGGTTTGACGTGTGGTTACCAGCATAACTCTTTCAATCATTGAGATTTCTGGAGCAGATATTTAAAGAAAAACAACCTTTTCTAAGACTGTAAGTGTGGCCTTATGTTTTTATCCTCCTTCCCCCCCCCCCCCCCCCTCCCCAGTGTGGGTACCTGGGCCCCATATTGGCGTGGGGTGAGCGGAGAGATAGACCTCACCACCACTTTCTCTAAGAAGCATATTGTAAAAGGTAACAAGTGGGGGTGTTTCCTTTTAAGTTGAAGGACATCTGTCAAGAAGCAAGGGGCCAACAGTCTGCAGTCTGCTTACGAATAAGTCAGATCTGTTTGAAGGATGTACACCCAAAACTCGAGTTATACACACGACCAACATCCAGAAGTGGACCAATAACCAGAACTTTCCACCAGAGTTTACAGCTGGTGAATGCTAAAGAAAAGGAGATCCTACTGTTATCTTCCAGTGGAGCATATGTTCTCCTTCCAAGTCAACCTGTTCTTTGCCGTCAGATTTACCTCACCAAATGTCCCATTATTTTCCCTCCTCCAGTTCTAATTTCTTTCTATTGTGTTCTTTGGTTTCCTGTTATTTCTGTGACCACCCCCCCCCCCCCCCCTTCCCGGTCTCCAGTGCAGGGATATGCTGGTCATGTTAGGATTAGCTTTTGTCATTGTACCTTCTCTGACATCAGTCACTCTCCTCATTTCTTGATTCACCAGGAATTATGTAGTTCTCTCTCAAAACTCCAGGTACATTACTTTAAAAAAAAAAAAAATTTAGAAGTGACTACTTAAGATCTTTAGTATGCTGAGACCAAAATGTTTAAAAAAAAAAAAAAAAGACATTACACATAAGCTGGAATTGATGACTAACAGGCTATAAACAGCTTGCCTTGCTTCATTCTGAAGGACTTAATAAACTGTTATACAGACATTTTTCACTTACTCCAGTCACATAACTGGGTTAAAATGTTGGGTGGTATTTGTTTCTGTATGAAAGCATTTTTAACTCTTTCTAGAAGCATATGTGGAATAAATGTCTTTTGTCTTTAAAAAAAAGTATCTGATGTAATGTATAAGAAATACACTTATATTCCAGGTAATGTTCTACCTTACATTCTGTAGCAAATATTGAGACTAGGCATATCTTGAAACAGGATCTGATAATTTCCATATGCCTGCTCCCATCACAAAACAGCTGTCAGTCTCACACAAAACTCAGCACACTTCACCATTCATTTGTAAAACTTATCTGTTTCTCAGTCATGAACTGCCTTGAATACTTTGAAATCAGGTTTTTGTTATTTTGACAAACCAAGGTATAAAATATACTCAGTTTGCTTTTCGGTGGGCAACTGTCTAGGAAAAGGAACTGTTACTCTTGTTCATAATTTAATAATGTAGTTTATATGCTGTCCTTAAGCATATTCATATCCACGGCAGTATTTAATTTAGAGTTGCTAGTATCATCTTAGCCAGATGTGTGCAGATTTCTTTGTATGAAATGATGATAGAAGTGCCTTGATTGAAATTTTAACTGATAAAATCCTTTCTTTACCTCTGTTGGCGTATCTTTGACAGGCAGTAGTCTGGCTAACAGAGAAATGATTCTTCTTGATTATGCAATTACAACAGAGAAAATCTCGTCCTCCCTTTGTGGGATGCAATTTTTTGTTATTTGAAGCCCTACTCTGGCTCATGCCAGGGGCCGCAATATAGCCCGGCCATAAATATGGTCTAATGGCTGAACGCGGTTTCTGGGACCTCTCCACAGTGATCCTCATCCACATGGTGGCACTTTGTGTCATTGGGTGTTTATCGCTTGTGTGATGTCCTAGTGGGATTAAAGAAGATAGTGATGATTCTTCTTTGCGTTCGTTTCATATGCTCATATAAGACCATCAGGTGGGTTGCCTCTATGAACTCGAATGTCAGTAGCAAGTCCTTCATGGTTCCCCATAGCTTGTTCTGCACATTCTGCTCTTGAGGTCAGGTGTCTTTTTGAAGTTGCAGGTCTGCAGAATGTGCTCAGGTGTTTGTGGTCCTATTTGACAGGCACACTGTGGGGACTGTACAATCTTTATTATCTCTCTCTCCATATTGTCTTGTGGATCCTTCTGAGTCGCCTGGAGGACTGACTTGCAGTCACAAAGAAAAACAATTTTGCTGTTTTTAATTTTTCTTTCCTCCTGCACTTCAGCTAAATCAATAATTGCTTGCTGCTGTTCTATAAAGTTTGTTAAGTCTTCTGGAGGCGCATGACATTTCTACTGTGGTCCCATCTTGCAGCATGATGACCGATCCAGCTACTCTGTTTTTTTCTGCTTCCTCCAGTGGTCCATCAGTGTATACGTGTGTTCATTCAGTTTTAGGTAACAGTTATAGACATGTTCGAGGGTCTTTGCATGCAGTACTAAGTCAGGTTCTTCAGCCTTTCTGTCCATGCTTGGAATTGTGACTGTATAGTCAGGCTGTAGGTCTGTGCTGTATGAATGGATCATTTTCCCAGTTAACGGATTTTTAGAAAGGATGTCGCTGTTTTTTTTTTTATTTTGGTAATACAATTTTAATAGACGGTGAAAGCTTTGTCTTTTCAGTCAGATTTTAGATGTATTATTTGCTATTCGGTGCAGGGGGTTGTTCATGCGTTTAAATTTATCTGTTAGGGTAAGCACCTTGTCTTCCCTTCGAAGACTCAAACTCTGGAGGCCAGAAGTTGCCTCCAGCTCATTGATTGGCATGCTTCTCATACCTCTAGTGATGGTTCTGAGACTAGTGTTGTGTATTTTGTCCAGTTTATGTAGGTTTAATTTGACTGCAGTGGAGTATGCTTCCATGCCATACTCCAATTTTGGTCGTAAGTATCCTGTGTATACTTGTCACCACAGCTTGTTCCAATAAGTTTCTTCATAATTCTGAGCTCTATGGTAGCTTTCCTTTGGGTGTCTTCAATGTGGGGGCCCCAGGCTTTTTTTGGGGGGTCAAATTTTACTCCCAATTATGTGGGGTTATCCTCTTTTGGAAGGATGTTGCCTTCTAGGTACAGATCAACTTGTTCTGGCTTTGTGGACTCCCCCAGAGTTTGTCCATTTCTTAACTGTATTTATAGCTTTCTGCATTCTTATTTTAGCTGTTCCTTTGTGTTCAGCTTGGGTCCATATGGCCAGGTCATCTGCATATTTGGCTTTGTGAATGTGAGTCGTGAACTGTTTTGGGAGGTCATTGATGAAAAGGATAAACAGGGTAGGAGATATAACACCTTCCTGGGGGACACCTTCTATTGTAACCTGAGCAGGTTGCTGTTGTGTTCTTCTAGTCGCACTCTCGCACAGTCGTCTATAAAGAAAGTTTCTAATCCAGGCAAACATATATCCTTTTATCTCAATGTGTGCTAGTTTTAGCAAGAGTCCTGTCTTCCAGACCTTATCAAATTCAATTTCCTGTGCTAGATCAGAGGTTTGGTCATCAGTGCTTCTGTATCTCCTTAAGCCTGATTGGTTATCATCCAATATCTTGTTTTCTTCCAGGAAATTTTGTTCACTAATCTTTCCATGGTCTTTCCAAGGGGGCAGTAACTAAATTTGTTTGCCTTGGGTTTTCCTTTCTTGGCTATGGGGACTATTTCTGCCTCCTTCAGTTCCTTAGGAAGTAGACCCTGGGTCCAGTATTGATTGAAAAGGTCTAAGAGTTGCCTACTAGCTGGTCCCAAGTGTACTATCATTTGTTATTTGAGAGGAATGATTGAATATGATTTTACTGTGGTGAATGCTCCTGGGACTTATACACTTTTTATGTAGTGAAATATTTTAACGATAGTGACATTCAGCATGAAATATTTTTACGATAGTGACATTCAGCACTCACGTCTTTCACTCAGTGCTTGGAGACCTCATATGTTGTAAAGGTGTTTAAAGGCAAGAGGTTACACTTCATTGCACTTGATTTTTGTGTGTGTCTCTGATGACTAAGTCTCTCTCAGAGAGCAGTTGTTTGCCAGCCAAAAGTGTTACAAAAAACACAAAATTAGGATAATGAAAGTAAAGGGTTGTGGTATAAAGTGAGCATATGTGTGCAGATTTGACATGAAAGATACTGACTACACTACACCTGTAATATATCTTATGTCTAATAAATTGGTTGTACTTACTGTTCATGAAACCTGAACACTCGAGTGACTGAACATTTCTCACAGATACACCCTAAAATAAACAGGATCGGTTCAGAAAATTATTCAGCCTCCTCATATGAAAGAAACAGACCATAACATCACACATGCACACACACATGCACTCTCATGCACTATTTCTCTCTCTCTCTCTCTCTCTCTCTCTCTCTCTCTCTCTCTCTCTCTCTCTCTCTCTCTCTCTCTCTCTCTCTCTCTCTCACACACACACACACACACACACACGCGCGCGCGCGCGCGAAATTCAAGATTGGGTATTCAGGAATTTGTCTTGTGTGAACAGGCACCACAGAATACGGAACATGTACTACAGACATGCTCTCTACATGCAGTAGAGAGATCTCAGGTTTGGTCGGTCAGCATTCCAGGGGAAACCCAGCTATATAGATCAATGGCAGACTTTCTATCACATTACAGACTTCATAAAGGCCTGTGGCCTTCCTGTGAAAACCACTGGCAAGGAGAATGAAAAGAAGTAGTTTGACAAATTTTAAAATGAAAAACACTGCCTTCACCATAGCCTTAAGATGTCTTCTGCTTATACAATGGTTGTACTTATTGTTTATGAAACCTTAACACACAAGTGCCTTAAAATTTCTGACATATATGCCCCAAAATGAACAAAAACTGTTCGTCAAATTTTGACATAACAAAAATACTCAACTTCACTACCAGTATGGATTCCAGGGCCCTGTTACGGTTGGGGGGGGGGGGGTGGGGGGGGGGGGGGTGTAGGGGACCTACTGCCTTCCTAACTAGTATGCCTTGAAAGGCTACTAATTAGGTATTTTCTTTCCGATGTCAGAGTGCATCTGCCTGAGAGACAAGTAACTAACAGTTTGCATACAAGTAAACCTGATCTGTAAAACAAATGTGCATGCAAAATTCAAGTTCTGGAACAATCCAGAGGTGGACGAACAACCAGAACTTTCCGATGGAGTTTACAGCTGGTGTACAATAAGAAGAAGCCTGCCTGTGCCATACCCATTATATGTCATAACCTGGTTTTACTGACTTTTTATGAAACCTGAACACTTAAATGCTTGAATATTTTTGACAGATACTCCGCAGAATGAACAACAGGAACTGTTCATCAAGAAACTGCAGCAATGTTGCGTGGTGTTTGACTTCATGGACCCAGTCACTGACTTGAAGAGCAAAGAGATTAAACGAGCCTGCTTGAATGAACTGGTAGACTACATTACAGCCACCCGCAATGTCCTGACAGAACCCGTGTATCCCGAAGTAGTTCGCATGGTAATAGATTATTTTTTAATAAATTCAAAAAAGTGTTTTTAAAATTGTGAATTTAAATAATGGGACGTATTTCACAAAACACACTACGTCTTGATTGTACCTTTTGAGTTACCTATCAGACAATGTCTAGGTGTTTATTAAAGTTTTCAGAAGCAGGGTGGGTTTGAAGACAGTTGAAGTCTCTGAGGAAATCTTGCCTGACAGGTATGAGTTATATTCTTGTGCCAGGATGCTCTGAGGTAAGAGGGATTGGGTTAGCTGGCAGGGCCATGGTAGGTGCAGGAAAAGCAGTGGACCGGGCGCCGATGTTCTCAGTGCTCTCAAGGAGGCAGAACAAATAGATTCAGGAAAGGACAGTGAATCGAGAATCTTAAAAAGACTACAAAGATTTGTATAGGTGTTTATTTATTGTGTACATTATTTTGAGTTTGTTTAGCTGGAAGGTAGATTTGCTTTAAGCGAGGAAGAGGAGGAGACGGAGAGATATTTTACAGATACAGAAAGAATGAATAAGTCCGACTGTTAAATAATGAAATTTAATTATGGCCAGAATAAAATTGCCATGCATGAAGCAAAGAATGTCATCTAAACAAGCACCATTTATCTGTGTTATGACAAAATTGCAATGCCACCTGGCTAGCACAAGACCGGTAACTCACCATTTTATTTAGTTAATGAAAGTTGATGAAACAGAACGTATGCAGCATGGAGCCAAGGATGAAGTTTATGTTTCAAACTTGGAAAAATGCACACGACACAGTTGAATTGATGATGTAACTTAATTAATGAGGATCTGTGTTTATCTCATACATCAGCAGTGTTTATCTCATGCATCAGATGGTATTGATGTTTCAGATTTGGTGTGGAAAATATTGAAGATGAAACTGGGCCATTTTTCTTCATAATAATGAGCTCATGGTCAAATTCAGAGAGCGGATACATGAAGCCTGATGTCTGACTATGAGGATGATGATAAATGAATATGATGTTAAATTTTATAAACATTTTTACTGGGCCATAGATGATTGGTGCCTGTTTAGATGACACCCTTTGCTTCATGGATGGCGTTTTTGCTTTTGCCATTTAAAAAATCACTTTCCTGATTTAATTGTCAGACTGTATATTCATGTATACTTTTGTATATTGTGCATTAAAAATGCAATCTTTCAGAATAATTCTTGGTATATCATACAGAGACCACATCACAAATTAGGATGTTCGCCATTTAATTATCCAGCACATTACTAACTATGACCTCTTTTAACTGCACTTAAAAGGTGGAAAATGCAATGGTACGGACATGTAGTAAGATCGATTTATTGTTTGTTATATGTAAATATAGAGTGGCATAGAGGTATAGTTTTAAGGTTTGAATGATTCAGACCTTTTTTTATAATTATTTTTCCTCAACAGATTGCTTGCAATATCTTCCGCACTCTTCCTCCCAATGACAATCCTGATTTTGATCCAGAGGAAGACGATCCTACTCTAGAGGCTTCATGGCCACATTTACAAGTAAGCCTTTTATAAATGTGCAGCATTTGTGTTTATATAAGTGATGGTCGTTGATTCAGGTTAAGACTTTGCACAGGACTTAGGAGATCATTTGGGGGGAAAAAAGGACAAATTACATAGATCAATGGAGGCTGGTGGTGTCTGCTGCAATGAACCTCAGGGGCTTGGAATGCTGAATAAGAAGAAAATACAGACATAATGAAAAAGAGTTTAATAGAAGTAGACCACGAGGCAGACCAAGAAGATTGGGGAAAGATAATATTCTGGCAGATCTTCACCAGCTGTGAACTCTGGTGGAAGGTTCTGTTTGTTTAACCATTTCTGGACTTTAAAGTCTTCTTTCAGAACTTGAGTTTTTATACAGATCCATTTTACAGATCTGGCTTATTTGTGTGCAGACTGTTGGTTCTTCTCTTTCCAGGCAGATGCACTGTAACTTTGAAATAAAAACCCTTTTTTGGTCTCCCTTTTTCTACATGCTTGTTAGAGAGGCAATGGGTCTATTCTCTTTTTCCTCAAAATAAGGCCAGGGCACCTACACGAGGCTGGGTCAACCTGGGAGTCTTTGTCATTTTTTAAGAAAAAAAGTCTGTGGCCATTAGGACCTGATAACATATTCATTCACAAACTACTCGAATACATACTGAATTTGTTGTGATGTATTTATTTACAGATTGTGTATGAGTTCTTTCTGCGGTTTCTTGAATCTCCGGACTTCCAGCCCAGTTTAGCAAAGAAATATATAGACCAAAGGTTTGTGCTTCAGGTAAGTCACTAAATAATTGTGCTCTGTGTGTTGTTTTAGTTGCCCCAATGTGGAAGTGTTATGTAATGTTAACAGTTTAACGTTTCTTCTTCTTCGCATTCACCGGCTGTAAACTCCAGCAGAAAGTTCTGGCTGTTTGTCAACATCTGGACTTTAGTCTTGTTCTAGAACCTGAGTGTTGAGTGCACATCAGTTTAACAGATGTGACTTAATTGTATGCAGATTGTTGGTTTCTTGCCTCTCAGGCAGATGCACTCTGACTCCAAAGGAAGCTCCCAAGTAGTCAGCTCTTTTGACATGCTTGTTGGGAAGGCAGTGGGTCTATTCTTGTCTTCCCAACAATGGGGCCCCGGAACACACACAGGGAAGTTTAATGTGTAGTGTTCATGGTAGAGGTATCATTGACATTACGCAAAAGTCACATAACTGCGATTTCCCAGGGTTGTTATTTGTGGCTTTAGAACATGCCAGGGGTTCACATGTGAATTCCTACGCTACACGGGTCAAAATGTATTATTTCCATTTGATTTTTCAGAGATCTCGCAGTTCATATGTGAGTTTCTCGAAACAAGGATTTAGCAGTTAGTTGATTGCGCAGTGCCAACAGTTGTAATGACTGTTGAAATGTTATATCTGCTGTGATTGAGATTTCAGGGGTCTGGCTAGCTCTCAACACTCAAGAGAATAGCGAGACTGAAATACAATCAGACAGTTACTGGTACTATTGGAATTGGAACTCTTCACTTGTTAGTGAAAATGGGAGACAGAGCGTTTATGGAGGTGTCCCGAGTGCTGTGATGTTGATTCTTAATTCAACATTCTGAGATCTCAGTTCAACTGAATAATTTTTTGGGTCACACAGAAAAGAGAAAGACATGGTAGAGCAGTGGCTAGCATATTTGATGGTAGAGCAGTGGCTAGCATATTTGATGGTAGAGCAGTGGCTAGCATATTTGATGGTAGAGCAGTGGCTAGCATATTTGATGGTAGAGCAGTGGCTAGCATATTTGATGGTAGAGCAGTGGCTAGCATATTTGATGGTAGAGCAGTGGCTAGCATATTTGATGGTAGAGCAGTGGCTAGCATATTTGATGGTAGAGCAGTGGCTAGCATATTTGATGGTAGAGCAGTGGCTAGCATATTTGATGGTAGAGCAGTGGCTAGCATATTTGATGGTAGAGCAGTGGCTAGCATATTTGATGGTAGAGCAGTGGCTAGCATATTTGATGTTAGAGCAGTGGCTAGCATATTTGATGGTAGAGCAGTGGCTAGCATATTTGATGGTAGAGCAGTGGCTAGCATATTTGATGGTAGAGCAGTGGCTAGCATATTTGATGGTAGAGCAGTGGCTAGCATATTTGATGGTAGAGCAGTGGCTAGCATATTTGATGGTAGAGCAGTGGCTAGCATATTTGATGGTAGAGCAGTGGCTAGCATATTTGATGGTAGAGCAGTGGCTAGCATATTTGATGGTAGAGCAGTGGCTAGCATATTTGATGGTAGAGCAGTGGTTAGCATATTTGATGGTAGAGCAGTGGCTAGCATATTTGATGGTAGAGCAGTGGCTGGCATATTTGATGGTAGAGCAGTGGCTAGCATATTTGATGCTTCGCTGGTCATGTCTCTGACTCTCCATGGGAGTGTGGATTTTTTCTTTTAAAACCCATCTTGGCTTCCATGTCAGTTTAGTCTGATCCCCGTGTGGGTTCCGGGGCCCTATTATAGGGAAAACAAGAATAGACCCACTGCCTACCCTAAAGCATGTTGTAAGAGTCGACTAATTGGGAGCTTCCTTCGAAGTCGGAGTGCATCTGTCGGAGAGGCAAGGAACCAGCAGTCTGCATACAGATGAGTCAGATCTGTAAAACGGATGCACACACAACACTCAGGTTCTGGAACAGGACTGCAGTCAAGGAGTGGATGAACAACCAGAACTTTCTGCCAGAGTTTACAGCTAGTGAACGCAAAGAAGAAGAAGAAGTGTAGTCTGAAAATGGGTAAAGGAAATGTCCTGGAAAAATGGTGTGGAAAATTATCAGCATACCCAGAGAAATGTAATACTTTGCTGAAAAACATTGCAGTTAATTGCACAGACGGAAGTCAGCAGTTTAAAAATAAAAAATGGCATCAGCAAATGAACTAGTAAGGGTGTTAGACTGTATCATTATGTTGAGGGATAGAAGATGCAGGGTGTCCATTGTGGCCAACCTTCACTGTGGAGATGGCACCTCAGTGATTGATTGATTGGAGCAGAGTGTTAGACTTTATGGTATTATGGTGAGAGATAGAAGATGTAGAAGATTTATTGAGGCTAACTTTCAGTGCCAAGTTTTGATAGTTAAAATGCAGAAGTGTGGTTACCACACCGTAGGGATGAACTCTACATCACAGATGTCAGAAAAGGGAAGTCATAATTTTTATATGTGGCTACCTTATGAGAATATAAATACTGAAACATGTGGCGTCTGCAAAGATTAATGGAAAGAAACATAAAGGAAGATTTTTGATGATGATTTATCATTGTATGGAAAGATGTCAGCTTATGAGTTGATTCAAATTGGCAGACTAGAATGATTTGACAGTATCCAGAAGTTCCGCCTCAAGAAGCTGTCTTGGCTGTACACAACAGGACATGCCGGGGTGAAAGGCAGTAAAAGAGGACAGACTGGCCATTTCTGGTGGAGGTAGAAGTTTGGACAAGGTAGACATACTGAATGCACTGCAGTCTAGAGACTTTGAGATGAAAGAGTGAGATGACAAAGAGCCACCTGTAAGAAATGGGCATTAAACAAGGACAAGCATACAGAAACTGGTTGCAGGGGCAAAGAAACCAGATAGGCCAGTCAACTCCTACTGTGTTACATTGAGCATGGAGACACTGAGGTGGCTACTGTATCGAAGAACGGAGCAGACATGGGTCAGACCGATGTAAAAGGATGTCGATACGGACAATAACTAACAAGTAATATTATCAGTTACAAAATGTAATCAGGTAATCACAGTTCCTACATCACAGCAAAGGGGTCACCCCATAACTGCTCCGTTCCTGTGCCAACAAAGACCAGTTCACACAGACTGTACTCCGCAGAGCCAGTAGCATACACATGCATGTATTGCATAAGGAAGCGTCAGAAATGCCAACACATACACTTATTGCTCCACTCATTGAGACACTAGATGCTAGTGGTGCACATTTTAACAAGGCAAAATATTTGTGTACCACCAATAGTAGTCATTTGCAAACTGTGATGATTATTGTCTATTCTTCTTCTTTGAGTGGTTGTCACTGTTGAGACTTTCCTTGCACCAAGCTTCAGATCGTATTAATCTAAATGATGTCTCCAACAGCTTCTGGAGCTGTTTGACAGTGAAGATCCCCGAGAAAGAGACTTTTTAAAGACCGTCCTCCACAGAATATACGGAAAATTTTTGGGCCTAAGGGCTTTCATTAGGAAGCAGATTAATAATATTTTCCTCAGGTATAGTAATTTTGAAATCTGTTATGCACATTTTTTGTTTAAATATTAATTAATTGATGGTAAGTAAATCCACATGAAGGCATTAATTGGTATTCATAGAAGTAAAAGAAAGTTAGAGATTAGAGGATATACTAGACAGCATCATCATCATTATCAGGGGCTTTGCCGACTAGCGTGGGTGATCATGCCTCTCCACAATCTGCGATCTCCTGCAGCATGTATCAGTTTGTTTGCTGACACACCTCCATGCCATGCAACAAGACTGTCATTAATCTTCTATTGTTATCTTCCTCTATCCCTCCTTCCACAGATTTTTCCAGTGGTCACAACATGTTCCATTTTCCCTTTTCTCATAACATGGCCGAAAAAAGATGACTGTCTCCTTTTGATGTCTGTGATGAGTTGTCACTGGGCTTCCCCCCTCTTTCAAAACCTCTTGGTTGCTCTTTTTGGCTGTCATAAGTATTTTAAGCATTCTTGTATAAAACCACATCTCTCTGAGGCCTCAAGAAGTTTTTTTTGCCCTGCGATTGGCTAGGACTCACAGCCATATGTTAAAACTGGATGTATGTAGCAAGCAAGAATTCTTCTTGTAACCTTCAGTGACAGAGATATATTGCATAAGATGTTCTTCATACTGTACTAAATTGTATAATTTAAATTGTTATACTAGACAGTATAACAATTTTAATTCACCTTTAAAAAACTTTCCCTTGTGGTTTCTAGGGGCCTACTTTTTGTTTGTGAAGGGTGGAGTGGGGAACTCATTGTCCCTTTACAAACATGCTGTATAAGGTGACTAATTAAATGTTTGCTTTAATGGACCAGAAGGTGCAGATATTGCAGCCTAGCTGTCAACCTCATGTGCCAGTTGCCTTTTTGTGGGTAAAAGCAGCAGAAGAAAAAACAACTACCTTGCTGAAAGAACATGTGTCCTGCTAGATATCCCTGAAAAATATGTACCTGTCATCCACTTGATCCTGTTAAATCCCTCAGGTTAATTACCTTCATCATTGTTTTCCTATCAAATATCAGTTTAGCAATTTTAGGGTGTGCAGAGGTTTTGGACCACACTGAACCCAAAGACCAGGTAACAAACTGGTCCAGACCCGTCTTCACTTTTACAGCTGTCCTGGTGTAAACAGGTTCCCAACGGGTACTGGTTAATGTAGATAGGATCACTGTTCCTTTCAAAATCAGAGTGCATGTGCCTGAGAGGCAGTATGCATATAGTAACCTAGATCTGTAAAATGGATCTGCGCGTACAGTGAAGACAAAGAACCAAAGTTCAGAAGAGGATGAGCAACCAGAATTTTCCGCCGAAGTGTACAGCTGGTAAACATGAAGAAGAAGGAGAACATCTTTAGAATTGGCATATGCTTGCTACTTTCCTAATTTTCACAGTAACGGTTTGTGTGCAGAGGTTTGTCTGCACCTCTGAAGGACATGGGCTGAGTTTCAGAATCTTTCCTTTAGTTTGCGAATGTACATGTGAGGAGATTCCTGTGGGTCTTTGTTTGAGGCTGCCCCCTCTCCGGTTGAATAAGTCTTTCAGTAAATGGATTTGTGCTACAGGTTTGTACTTTGTGAGACACACTTAAGAAGCAAATAGCTGTTCTGTGGAGAAAGACAAAGTCGTATTGGTTAAAATACAGTGCAGTGAAGTTGATTTTCTCACCTGCAGACTCCTACCTTTTATCCCCTGACAGAGTTTTGACCTTCACTCATACTGTGCCAGATTGTCCTAACATTTGCTATCTTTTCTAGTTGCCTCCATGTCTCTCGTGTATTACTAATTTCTGCCTCCATTTGTTTCCTCCTCTGTATTTTTTATTTCTGTACATTTCTTTTGCCTAATGGATTCCAAAAGAACTTTATGCTATGCTGTTAACTGGTTTTCTTTGTATATACCTTATTCAGAACAAGTCCTTTAGAGAGATAAGTAAGGAGATAGAGACGGACGCATTAAGAAAAGGAAACAAGTTCATGTGTACAATCTGAAAATAAACAAGTGTAAATTTTATGTACATCTAATTGTGGAAGTGATATATATGTATGTATGCTCACCTGTGAATCGGTAGGTCGTCGATTTTGGTCCTGACGGAGCTGGACTTTTTTCACCTGGGAAGTGAAGGTGGCCGGCGTGATGCTGACCTCATCATTCACCAAAGTGCAGATTATCTAAAAAAAACAATAGGTCTAGCCCTATATGCCCAAACGCGCCTAGAGCTATGAAAAAGGGTCCTTTACTTTTACTTTTTTTTAAGTTATAGTTGTATGTAACTGTGATGTGCTAATACAGATATGTTCGTACGTATTACAGGTTTATTTATGAAACTGAGCAGTTTAATGGTGTTGGAGAACTTCTGGAGATTTTGGGAAGCATTATCAACGGGTTTGCCCTGCCACTGAAAACAGAGCACAGGCAGTTTCTCATGAAGGTTCTGATCCCGCTGCATAAGTCACGCAGCTTAAGCCTGTACCATGCTCAGGTGCGTTTTATTTTTTTTCTGTTCCTCTTTTGGTTTGTATAAAATGTGCTGAAGTCTTATAGGTTGTTATTTGTTTTTTTCCCCTCTCAAAAACAGAATGAGCTTATTATCCTTATATGAATTTGATTGAAATTTCTTAGAGATTTTCCTGCCATCGGTACATTTGGAAATGGTGCATAGTACATATCTTTATAGACAATTGACACTCAGCATATGGGGAAAAAACATAATTGGCATTCTATATTAAAAAAAATATATATATAAAAATATATATAATACCATCATCTGCCTAGCACATAACAAAGCTCTTACCTGATGCCTCTTGAAAACCTGACCCGAAAAGGCAGTACAGGGTTAGAGAAGAAGAAGATAACATATAAAACTGATGACGTTATTGGCATTCAGTGGATGATAACATCTAAATGGTTGCCTTTTACTTCCCTGAACATTTTCTGGTACTTGATTTTAGAATGGGTTAACTTGGAAGTCCTAGTTCAGTTATACAATTCTTCCCGATGGGGATTCAAACTTGAGACCTTCGGGTCTGCGGATAAGAGTATAATATGAAATTACTTGGCAGCTTTTGGTTTCCAACCTCACGTGACTGTCCCCATTCCATCTTGTGGAGTAAAAAACATATTGTGTTTCTCTGTCAGTATAGTGCCTACCATAACCTGGCCAGATTAGGAATCACTGAGGCTGGCTGCACTATCACTGCCATGCAATTAACCGCAAGAATATTTACAAATGGCCCTTTCCGCAATGTTAATTTTAAAAAAAAAAATTGCACATGTGCTCACACACATGCCACCACCAACCTCCAAGAAAGATAGGACACATTAGATAACATAAAAATCGAAAGCTATAGTTTGTCAAATGTTTGTTGTATTATAGACACAGCGTTAAGGTCTGATATGTTTGTAATTGTTTGTGTATTTGTTATTCATTCTACGCTTGGTTAATATTTTTTTTTTTTTTTTTTTTAAAATACCCAGTATTGTAACAGCCTAAAATGGGTACCAGGATGGGCTGTCCTGGGAAAGTAAAGACAGCCGGCGTAATGCTGACCACATTACCCAGAGAGTGCTGATGGTCTGTAAAAATATGGGACGCTCTGCCCATATGCCCGATGCGCCGAAAGGCGTGAAAAGGGAACTTTACTTTTTTTATAGTAACTATAGTTTTAGATTTTTATGTTGTCTAGTGTGACCTTCTATCTTTCTACTACTTCCTATGAGTGCCGATATATACATTGTCTGTTTGTTTATTATATATTCTAATGCATTCACACTTGTTTCCAGTGGTCACAGACTTCATTGTCAGCTCTATGCTCATAAGGATCTTAAGAGGAAATGTTGTTGATAACTAGTCTTGTTGGGCATGTTTCTGTTTTTGATTCTTCAGGGTATCAAGTTTGTTTCTGTTTTTGTTTTGCAGCTTGCCTATTGTGTTGTTCAGTTTTTGGAAAAAGATGCTGCGTTAACAGAAGATGTAAGTGCACCCTGAGTTTCTTAATGCATGTTTACAACCTTTATCTTTATCAGTAGGTATGCCTCACGGCACTAATGAAGAATTCACAAGTGTGCTGTTATTGTTTTTGAAACTATTTCAGACCCATTTGAAAATAACTGGAATTTAAGTAAACAGTTTTTAAATAATGCGGACACAAGCAATACATTGCATAATTTATTATCTGGCATATTTCGCTGTGTCTTGTCATTATATTTAACAGCTTTTATTTAAACAGTAGTTGAAACTTTTTTCTTTACACCTTATTGCGTGTTTTAAAAAAACATTTTATTTTTATTTTTTAAGTCGGTTGGCATGGTCTAAATAAGTCTTTTTCTCTTGGGAGAGTGGCCTGATGTTTTCTGCCTTGCTTAAAGCCTGCTTACTATGGCGCTAAAAGTTATGTACTTTCCAGGTAATTGCGAAAGTGCTTTTATCTATTTTATTTGTAAAGACTATGCTGACCTGTACAGCCACAAAAATAGTTCATCTCATCGTCTACTCTCATTTCAGTCTAAAAATCTTTCAAAATAATAAATATATCACACTTCTTTTCCTTCCGTCATCTCAGCACAGTTGGTGTGGGGGGGGGGGGGGGGGGGGGGGGGGGGGGAGTTGTAAGGACCATCTGTGTGCTCCATTTTTTTGTTTGACTTTAGTCATTTTCATTGTTTAAAAAAATATTTTGTATTGTAAATCGTGTTTAAACCCTCATTTCCACAATTTGTTGTTGTGTGTATCCTATACAGGACGTTGCAGAACCAACCCCACCAACTTCTGGCTGTTGTGGTTTTCTAGGCAAATTTACACCCAGTAGTTTGCTAAACTATCGCAAAACAAACCGTCTGCAGCAGGGATCGAACCTTGCACCCCGGCATTACGAAGCGCATTCGCATCGCCTAAGCCACAGACCCCGACCATTTCCACAATAGAAAAAGTAAAAATTAAATATTACTTTCCACAATTTATTCCCTGCAAAATGCAGTTTTTATTTTTATTTTTTATTTTGCAGGTGATAAAAGGCTTACTGAAGTTTTGGCCTAAGACTTGCAGTCAGAAAGAGGTACAGTTGACTCTTCTTTCATCTGTCATAATTTTGTTGTTTTTGTTATGAGAAGGAGGAAATGGCCAAGATTTCCAGAGAGGATAGTGCAAGTGATATTACTTGAATAAGTTATTCTGTGTCAGGTCTCAGAGTTGGGGTTTTACACCAGGGTTTTGGGGTTTTGCACCGATGTCTTCTCTTGCCAAAAGTTTTGCCTTAATATGTTGTATTTGGGACAGTCTCGGAGGACATGATCTGTTGTCTCAGGTCCCAGTCCACATGTGCACATGGCTGATTCGCCGATATAAAATTGTGTGTACATGTGGCTGCGAAGTCGATTGTGTCCTGTTCTAAGGCAGAAAATAATAACTTGCTCTGGTCTGTCCATAAAACTGGTAATCGTCTTATGCCGGTTTTGGTGGCTTTCTGATTGATTTGATTACTCTCTTCTTTTGCTGGCAAGTAAACCCTGTTTCCCTGAGAAAACTAAATCTGATCACTTGCAGTTGTGACACAGTCACAAAAATGCTGATATATTCCCATGTCTGCAGTAACCTGTTCTCGAAAAGCCTAAATTTAATAGATTCTGTGTGCGTTGTGCAGTGTTTGATAGAACAGGATATGAATATAGTAACTAAAAATATTATTTAGAGCTTTTTAAAAGCCAGGTTGTCAGATTTGCCTGTAAACCTCAGTGATAGAGATCACAGAGTCGCAGCATGTTTTTTTAAAGCTGCATGGAATGTATTCCATTTAATGCTTCACTTTGTTTATGTTTATTGATTACCCCTTTATATGTTCCACATTAAAAAAAAAAAGTTGTGTAAATAATTTTGTTTTTAAATTTATTAGTGATGTTTTTAATATGGTATTTTTAAAAGGCTTTTTTTCCAGGAAATCCCACAAGTCTATGACACATTTATTTTAGCATTTGTGGAAGCATAAATCTAGGCATAGACTGCAACAAATATTCCTTGCCAGTGTAAGCCACAGTCCTGTCTTTGAGCCTGTCTGGCTGGGTTACTTCCTGTGCAGCAAAGATTTATATTGAGACATTTTCCACAGTGTTACTTGTTCATTAATACATTGTAACCCCTAAATTGGTGTCTGACAGGGTAACTATTGAATGCCCAGTTTTAAGAAGAAGAATGTATGTAGAAAAACTACTGTATTACGATTTTACATTAAATATAGTTTTCGTTAGGCTGTTGTAGAATTTTTGGGATCATATCAAGGTGGAAATTTAAACTTGACCTCGGCTCTCAGGTTGACCCAGCCTAGAATGGGTACCAAAATTGTCCTGAGAGGTAAAGGTGGATGACATGATGTTGACCACATCACCCAGCGAATATCGATTGGGCTATTTAAATATGGGGCTCTCACGCTGAATACACCTCATAGCATGGGAAGGATCCTATACTTTTTATAGAATTTTTGTAAACAGAACTGAAATCTATCTTAATTTGTATTTCAGGTTATGTTCTTGGGTGAAATTGAAGAAATTCTAGATGTTATCGAACCGTCTCAGTTTCAAAGAATTGAGGAGGACTTGTTTCGCCAAATTGCCAGATGTGTGTCAAGTCCACATTTTCAAGTAAGCATGCATATTAATTGTTTTACAGATAAGGTTTTTTTTTTTTTTTATATGTAAATTAGTTTAATTAAAGCATGTAAACTTAGCTCCTTTCTTTTAACAGCAAAATGTGTACCTGTTGTTTTTAAATGAGAGCTCAAGTGTGTCATCTACGGTTTTATATCTTGACTAATTGAAAATGTGGAGTGCCTAACAAACAGCATATAATGCTGGACTTGGCATTATCAAATGTATAAACCATTCTCTGTATACATTTCTTTATCATTTATTCATATACTGTGTCATGTATATTGCTAGTGAGGGCGGCCCACACTTTTATTAGTCATGATATAAAATTGTAAATAAATTTTATAAAGAGAACTATTTCATCTTTTGTGTTCATTAACACTTTGCTGATCAGCAGTCCAGTGCGTTACTGTCTGTTTCATATTATCAAGGGTGTTTAGAGATTTTTTCAGAATGACGGGTTTTCTAATAAAATTCATAAAAAAAATGTAACAACCGGTGTAGGGTTTTGAAACTTTCAGAGGACCATTGTGAATGGTTGCTCTACATAAAGAAAAAAAACAATATATTATGCAAATGTTTCACATGATCAGCAATCTTGAATTTGCTTATAGAAAGTTCAAGAGATTTTTTATACCATCTTTTCCCACTTATTAGTGAATTTGTTCAATATCCATGCAATAAAATGTTGAGAACATGGTTGGCGATAAATAAAGTAAGTTCAGTAGGAGCACTTTTTTAATGACTGACCAAATATTTCAGCGTTAAAAGCTAATAAAAATGTGGATAAAGTGAAAAAAAAAAATTCTTCTATTATGTTTATTCAGCATGTTACAATGAGCATTTGTGAATGCTTGATTATAAAAGCAACTCTAACTGAAGTCTGAGCTACTTTCTTCATTAATTGGAGAAGCTGTAAGCTCTGCAAGAGTCTTTTTCGGAGTGTTGATAATCCTCAACTGCGTAGTATAGCTTGAAACAGGGTGTCAGGCATAGAGGTGTACTGTAATATGGGCAGTATATACAAATCTGGCTTCTTCTTCTTCTTTCGTTCGCCTGAAATAAGTTGTCTACATCAGCAATTTTGTCTCTTGTATAAATTTCACTGTCCTTGTTAGTTAATTCAGTGGTCCATAGAGTTTACGTTCCACAGTTGTTCTTTCTGGCCAAAAGGTTTGCCTTAATGTGTCAAATTCGGTGCAGTCTTGGAGTACATGCTCTGCTGTTTGGCGCACCTTTACACAGGTGCACATGGCTGATACACATATCTTGAATTTTGTGTACATGTGGTTACATAATCAGTTGTGCCCTGTTCTGAGGGTCTGGCTTCTTTGTCTGCAGCCTTAGACACCTTACGAACTGGTTTGTACCTTGGCTTTTCATTTTTTTTTTTAAATAAAATGGCACTGAGTAAGTTATGAACTTGTGGTCTTTAAGGTGTTACATTGTTCCGAAGAACAGCAGGTCTGATAAGAGCAAGACTGATATCCTGCCTGAACCTCTTTGCTGTGATCTTATTCGTAGAGTTGGCAGTATTGTAGCTTAAATGCCTATTGACCAGAGCAGTTTCGGCTAGAAAGAAAAAATAATATAATCGCAGGTACCATTTATAGGATCTATGTGGGTAGGGGTAGCTTGTACCTAGTAGCCGAAGTGATCTACACCCCCCCCCCCCCCCCCCAATCTTTTATTGTATTTTTCTGCAAGAACTGGCTTGTTTATTACTCTGCCGTCAGCAACCCCACTTTTCCTAAGTGTTTTGTCCATAAAATCTTTCGAGTAAACAGTAAATATCAAGTTAACTCTCTTAGTGTCATGCCAGGTAACAGCCAACATGCCTTTATCTTCTGTCACACAAAACAGAATGATCTGCCTTTTTTTTTTCAGTTTCAGCTGCTTTCTCTTTAAAAAAAACATCGGCATTCATCCAATTGTGTCTGACATGACACCTTGTTCCTCTTAATTTGAAGGAAGATTGTCAAGCTTAACTAGTTAATTTTTAGAAGCTTTTCTCCATTTCCAAATAGCATTTTCAGCTGTAAAATTGTCCTGGTCTTATTGCAATATGGTAATAACATTCCCTGGTATATCTCTACTTATCCAGGGATTTGTCATTTTCAGCACTACATTCGCTGGCATATTCTGAATAGGCAGTACTATGGGTCTGGTTGTCGTCATCAGACCTGACAAAAAGGCTGAATGTATGCTTGTAACGAAAATTAACACAATTTAACTGAAAACCATGCTTGTATCAGCTCAAAGTGATACCAATCTTGGAATAATAAAAATACCCAGATGAAGCTGTTTGAAAAATATTGGTGAGGCAGTCTGTTTGCGTCGATGATCATTGAATCTGGTCACCAAGGGACATGACCAGAAATTTGACGATCATCAAATTTGGTCAGGATAGTGTTAAACTATAAAATAAGTTATTTTTTTTATTTCACAATTTTAAAAAATTTAATTTTAAATAAAAACCTATGTTATAAAAAGTTTGTGATTTTGTTGTTGTTTGTTATATATCTAAGCATCAAGATATAACAGAGTTGCCGAGACTTATCTTTCCTGAATATGTATTTGCTACCAGGTGGCAGAGCGAGCATTGTATTTCTGGAACAATGAATATATCATGAATTTGATCGAGGAGAACTCCAGTGTTGTGCTGCCCATCATGTTCCCGGCGCTGTACCGCATCTCCAAAGAGCACTGGAACCAGACGATTGTGGCGCTGGTGTACAATGTCCTGAAGACCTTCATGGAGATGAACAGCAAGCTGTTTGACGAGTTGACCGCTAATTACAAATCAGAGAGACAAAAGTAAGATTAGCTTGTCGGCATTGATTTGTGGGAATACGTTTACCCTCATAGTAGTTTATTTTCTCTCACACTTGTTTGTTTTCTCTCACAGTAGTTTATTTTCTCTCACAGTAGTTTATTTTCTCTCACAGTAGTTTGTTTACTTACAATAATTTTTTTTCTCTCCCAGTAGTTAGTTTACTCTCACAATAGTTTTTTTTCTCTCACACTTGTTTTCTCTCACAACAGTTTATTTTCTCTCGCAGTAGTTTGTTTACTTACAATAATTTATTTTCTCTCCCAGTAGTTAGTTTACTCTCACAATAGTTTATCTTCTCTCACAGTAATTTGTTTACTCTCACATCAATATTTCTCTCACAGTAGTTGGTTTTTTTCTCACAATGAGTGCCACTTTAAATTTAAATGAAGTGTGGATCTTTTCCTATGTCTTTATCTTGTGGTGGAAGATAATCTTGTGTGCACCACTGGGTCCCAGAATTGTGCTGGTGCTAATGTGTTTCTCTGGGCATAGTTATGTAAAATAAGATGGATTAAAGTACCAGGTCTACTGCCTTGCAACACCCACAAGAAATGTATGTTGGGTCAGTTCTAGTTTTTCCCCCACAAGGGGATCCGAGAACACACACGGGCACTCAAATTATGCAATACCCAAAATATGAGGCTAGGTCAACCCTGGAGCCACCATGGCTCCACATATAAATTGCTAATGGATACTTTTTAGGGATTGAAAGTCAGTGAGGAAAAACATTTGGTAATCTTTATTGTACTGGGTTCTAGTATATGTGATGGTCGAGGAGGGGTCTCGGTGGTGAAGTGGTCACCATCCTCTGAAGGTCCTGGGTTTGTTTCATAGCTGCATTGTTCAGTTAATTAGTGAACATTTTACAGAGATTCCTATTGATCATCGCCAGAACTATGGACTTCTAATTTCTGTGTGATTCTTTCTGCTGGCAACTAGCCATTCATGAGAGAGAGACCGAGCTATACGCAATAAAACCCAATGCAGTAAAGTTGATCCCTTCGACTCTTTATGTAAAGAGGTATACATTCCACCTCTGTGACTATAATGGTGCTACTAAATTTTCAAAATTGGTCAGATTTATAAGCTTCATAGTCAGACATCAAAGTCTTAGCTGACACATCTGATACATGGTTCTCAATGTTCATTTGTGAAATGTATTCAGCAATATCATACTAAGTACTGGGATAATTAACCACAGGTCACTGGACAGTCTAATATTTCAGGGGGTGGTAGATAGGCTGCATGCAGTCATGGGATCTAGGTGGGTTGGAGTTAGGGCTAGTGCTAAATGTTTTGGGTTCCTTAAAAGCATCAGAAAGCCGGGAAACACAGTCTTACCACCCTCTAAAATGTTGGACTAACTTGTGATGTCATCTGGGGTAGAATATTAATAAAGAACCCTAACCTCTCGTTTGATACAGACGAATTAGGAAAAACCTCAGCAGTGTCAGCTATATTCTTTACCCCATGAGAAAAGATGGGGATGAACTAATATATATACATTCTTTTCTGGACTATATGACAGATAGGCACGTTTACTTTATCTTTCATGACAAATCTAATGAGGGCTATTTTTTGGGAGCCAGCTTTATGGTACTAAAGTCAAACCCTTCAACTAATGGGCGCATAATCTTAACAGAGATATCTTAGGAGAGCTGCCAGATTAACAAGTAGATATAAAATTCAAAATGAAGATATCAGAAGACGAGGACCAAAATCAGTTGCAACATTTATTGAAGAATGGCAGATGAGATGGTTTAGTCATTTGCGGAGAATGCCCAGGTACCAACTGGCACAGACAGCCAATCTAAAGAAATATAATATAGAGCTAGGCAAGGGAACAACCTTGCTGAAAAAGGTGAAGACAGGGGTGGTTCAAGCAGAGTGGCAAGCTTCACTAGGAAGGTCACAGGTGGTGAGCATACTTTGGATGTTTTCTCCAGGCCATGTCGGCCTAGTGGGTAATGAACAGGCAGACAGATTGGTTGGAACTGCACCACTGGGTGGTGAATTGATACATGACAAGCAGATGTGGTCAAGGCATTTTGGGAACAAGCAACGGAATCAGAAGAGAGAAACAGGATTATTATGGCTTGTAGAGAATGAAGCACCTGGGTTTAACCAGAGGGTCTGGCCAGCTAACTACACTCAGAGGAAAGGCAAGACGGACATATAACTAAATTGTGACCGGTACCATTAGTATTGGAACTCTGCGCTGGCTGCTGAAAATGAGGACGGATCACTCATGGAATTGCGCCAAGTGCTGTGATGTCAATTTTTGACTCAACTCAACTAGGCAAGGGAATGACCATGCAGAAGATGGAATGATGGCGCCAAGAACAATCTTAAATAAATGAAGACTAACATATTAGAAACAGCACACTGATGATTTTTACATTGTCCTCCAAAACTTACTTCTCTGAGGTAATGGAGGAAGTTGTTTTAGTAGACATGCTGTTTAACTAGAGAATGTTTGTACTTTCTACAAAATGATGTCTGCCATGCAACCATAAAATAATCAAAATCCTTTTCTCTCATTCACAGGGAGAAGAAGAAAGAGAAGGACAGAGAAGAGTTGTGGAAAAGGTTGGATAGGTTAGAAATAAGTAGCAAGCGAAACAAAAAATCTTAACATGGCTGATGTATATGTGACATGACGGTGTGAAAGGCATAGTGTGTGCCATTTTGTTGTTGAATATTATTTTACCATCATTAATATAAATATTATAAATAATGGTCATAAAGCATTTTTGTTACCTTTTTTTTTTTTTTGGGTTGTTTGTTACATTTTGTTAATGGTTTTTAACATAAGCGTAATTTTTATTCACAAAGTTTGTCCAGTTGATGCATAGAACACTTTCATGTAATGCATGTTCGCAGTGGCTTTTGTAGTGACCCATGTGCCAAACAAATAATGAATGGATACTGCACGTTTCTTGTGTTCCAACATTCATGTGTGTTATGGTCATTTGTCCTCTCTTTGGCTATAAAGTAACAGTGGATCATTTATTCAGTGTTGGGCTCAGTGAATGCAGGATGTCTGGACACTATTGGTACAGCTTGTTAAATAGATGAGATGCCTCGATGTTTATGATGACGGTTGATTCCTGGGGCAGCCAGTGTAGAGATAGACCATTCTCACAACTTTCAGACAGTGATAATAGTAGTTGCACCGTAAAAGAGATAGGGGCCTCATAGGAATAGATAGGGGCCTTACTGGTCTCTCCATTGTGGAGTCTAAGGAAGTTTATTTTAAATAGATAAGATAATGCTAGTCACATAGAATCACAGTCATACCCTTTGAGTACAAACTCTGGGGAGATGTCAGCAAGCTTATACTGACCACTGATTTCTTGAAATATATTTAGATGGACATTTTAGGGTGTGCAAAGAAGAAGAGGAAGAATTACATCACAAGAATGTAGATGAAAAACTGGAAGAAAAATATTGGGGGGGGGGGGGGGGGGGGGGGGGGGGGGGGGGGGGGGGGGGGGGGGGGGGGGGGGGGGTAAATTAATATTATTCCACCCCTTTCCTGTTGCTGCTTCTGCTTTTTTAAATCTTTCATCCTGTAGTATAAGTTAATATTTTTCTTTCATGTTCTTTTCTATTTCTCATAGCTCACTGGGGAAATATTAAATATATTCTTCTTGAGAATTCACCATTGAATTGGCACGCACTGTGTTATTGGTCTACAGTAAAGTTGCAATATCTCATGGGGAAAATGTTTAATGTATGGGCTACAAGGAAACTGCCAGGCTGAATCCAAATGCTGTCATTCTCATGAACGCTTTTAATCGCAGCTGTGATACTTGACCATTAAAAATGGTGTCTGCCCTCTGTATTGTGCAGCTAAACTGTTGTTCTTCTTCACGTTCATGGCTGTACACTCCTGCGGAAAGTTCTGATTGTGCGTCCACTTCTGGACTTTTGCCTTGTTCCAGAATCTGATTTTTTTTTTTAATACACCTATTTTACAAATCTGGCTTATTTGTAGACTGTTGGTTCCTCACCTCTCTGGCAGATGCACCCCAACTTCAAAGGAAACACCTCTAGCTAGTCACCTTTAACAACCTTCTAGTTAGGAAAGCAGTAGGTCTATTCCCCCCCCCCCCCCCCCCCCCCCCCCCCCAGCCCCCCCCCCCCCACCCCCACCCCCCACACCGAACCCCCCCCCCCCACCCACTAGGGGGTCTCAGAACCAGCACGGGGATTGGCCAGACTTATGGTCGTAAAATTGTTTTTTCTTTTTTTGCAAAAATTGTAAACATAGTTTTCAGACACCTTATAGTCTTTGTTTTTTGTAGGTGCAGTAATAGATAGTTAGAGGCATTAAAAATGCCTTCTGCAGTTTGCTTCAAAAGTATATTCTGTTATTGTTTGATTTCATTTGTGCGTGTGCTGTCACAATATATTCTAGATGGTGTGCACTTTAGAGAAAAAAAGCCACAAAGTTTGTATGAAATTTAGCACTTTTTTCCACTAACTGATTTTTTTTGACAGTGTTGAATGATAGACAGCTGTGTACAAAAACAGCGGCTGGCCAAACAGTCAAGAACACTGAGCTGTCATGCCAAAGCACCCAGGTTTAAATCTCCTGTATGGTTATGGTTTTTTCTGTTCTGTCAGATTTCAGCCATGTGGCCCTAAACCCTGAGGCTCAGACTCTCTTGCCTACACCACTGAAGTATTAAATACAGACCATAATGACAGTTTAAAAAAAAAAAAACCTGTGTCTTAGGCCTTGCCAACACGCTTCTTAATTCTGGGGTGCTGGGTTCGATCCCAGCTGTAGGCAGTTTGGCAGAAGTCTGTTTTGACTGTGGTATCAAGAGCCAGACGTCCAGAAAGCATTGGAAAACTACTGAACATAAAATTGCCAAGCCAAATCACAGACAGAAAATGCTGGTGTTGATTCTGCATTGTCCTCCTGTAAAGGACACGCAATACATTTTTTTTTTCAAATAGCTGAGGCACTCAACCATTTTATTTCATGCTTCTTTTCCAAAGGTTTGTTTATGATTGGTTGAATTTGTAAAAGGGGTTTTCTAGAGATGAGGTTAGGAGCTTCACACCCATCCACTTTTGTTTACAGTGTTGCCATTGTTTGGTTTTTTTTTTATTTTTTCAGAATTGTTATTTGCAGATGACCAAGTATTAATAGCTGAAACAGAAGAGAGTTTACAGAACCATTTAAACCAAGTCAATACTAAATGAGAAATATAATATGAGGATAAGCTTTGATAAGACAGAGGCAGTGGTAATAGGTAGACAAGAAGAAACCTTATCAATTGAAGTAAATAACACACAAATGAGGGAATTTAAATATCTAGGGTAATATTTCACCTCAGATGGAAGAATGGACAGATAAATCAACATACTATGTGCGAAAGCAAATCAGGTTATGGGACAATTAACACCGCTTCTGACACATAGAAGGATACCTTTGTCAACCAAAGCAAATCTCATAAGAACGGTTTTTTGGCTAAAATTGTGCTAACAGTGCCAAACATGGACCCTTGTGACAAGAAGAGAGAAA